TATGGTGTGTCCATGCCCAGAGGTTACCTTGAACTTACCCTAAATCCTAAGGACAGTGAAGTGGACCACATAAGTGCAACCAATTTTAATTGTGACATACTCTTGAGCCCTGATTTGTCAACATTTAGAGTTCTACCATGGACTGAACAAACTGCTAGAGTGATATGTGATTCCTTCACTATACTCGGAACCCCTCTATTGACCTCACCCAGGTACATTGCCAAACAACAGCTGAGCCAGCTTCAGGAAAATGGTTTGTCACTACGCTCTGCCTTCACCTATGAATTTTGTATTTACGGCATTGCTGAGATTGTAAATTCAAAGACGATATCTTTTCCTGCAGCAAGCATATTAAATAATTATGACCAGCCTTTCATTCAGGAACTCATTGAAGGAATGTATCACATTGGTGCCAACATTGAGAGTTTTTCCTCTTCCACTGGGCCTGGACAGATGGACATCTCTTTTCATCCAGAGTTTGGCATAGCTGCTGCTGATAGTGCCTTTACCTTCAGAACAGGTATTAAAGAGGTGGCAAAGAAGTACAACTACATTGCAAGTTTTTTCACAGAGAATGGGTTCTACAATTCAGGGATTCTGTCACATAGTCTGTGGGATTTCAATGGCCAAAAGAATTTGTTTTCGGTTGATGGGGGGGTTCAGGCACTTACCAATATTGGAAAGAATTGGCTAGCAGGACTTTTGGTACATTCTGCAGCTCTCAGCTGCCTGATGGCTCCTACTGTCAGCTGCCGTAAACGCTATGCCAAGTATGGTAAGGAATCAAAAGATTTTGTAACTGTAAATTCGGCATTCAATGATAATAGCTGCGCCTTTAACATCAAGTGCCATGGTGGAAAAGGCACTCAAATAGACAACAAGCTAGGTTCAGCTACAGCAAACCCCTATCTGGTTCTTGCTGCTACTATTGCTGCAGGTCTGGATGGAGTAAAGAGAGAACTTAGCTTCCAGGATGTGTCAGAAGAGAACCAGAACACTCCTCAGTTGAAACCTGCAGCAATCCCCCTGAAACTAGAAGATGCTCTTGCTGCACTTGAGGAAGATTTGTGCCTTAGGGAAGCACTGGGTGATACCTTTATTCGATACTTTGTTGCCATGAAACGTTACGAGTTGGAAACTGAAGAAACAGATGCTGATCGGAATAAATTTTTAGAATATTTTATTTAAAATCAATTAAACAAAACCTGTCTTATAATTGGTAGAAAAAATCTGAAGTAATGCTGTGTAAATGCTTAAAGATCAATAGAGAGACTAGAATTGGAAATTAGAACTATTTATAAATGTTTACTAAAGTTTTTCCTGCCATATCATTTTTAATATAGTGGGCGGTGACTGCATATTCTTGTATGGGTGGATTGAAGAGACTGCAGAACTGGTGTTCATAAACTAGTGCTAAGAGGCTTTTTTATTTTTTTTCTAATTTCTCAGAAAACCTTAACTAAGAGTGGTCATGATGGGGAAGAAACGAGAGGAGGACATGAAAGGATGATGGTCAAAAGTAAAGAAAAGTAATAGGAAAACAGGAATAGGAGGGAGGGACTGTCTTGTTCTCATTTTCTTCAGAGGTGTGAAGTGTAGCCTGAAGTAGAAACAGATATTAGATGTAAGCTCAGCAGAGGCCTAAAATGATGAACATTTTGGTTGGAAAGAAAATCAAAGGCGTAAAAAATGGAGGAGATTGTAGAGTAGACAGAATCAGCATCTGAATCACAGAGGTGGAAGATGAGAGCTAGGAGAAGGGAACTGGAAGTGGTGTATAAATTAGGATTATCGATTTGTCAGAGATGACTGAAGGGCCAACGAGGTTGATGGAAAGTGCGAGGGGGTAAACTGGCTGAGATGAAAGGAGATGAAATTGTAGATAAAACAAGAGAAAAGAGTGCTCAATAAGGGATGAGATTAGAAGGGTAATTTTATTGAGAGAAGAAGTTAATCCAGGGTTGAAGATCAATTGAGGAAATGATAGTAAAGAGTCAAGAAGATAAAGAACTGGTTTGGACATTAGGGTGTAAATGGAAGTCACCAAGGATGAAAACTGGGAAACTGAGAGAAAAGAAAGAGGGATAATCATTGTCAAAACCAGAGAAGATAATCGAAGGGGAGGAGACAATGGGCAGCAAATAGTGGTAACATGGAGGGATAGAATCAGACTGAGGACAAGGAACAGGAGATGATGCAACAAAAAACAGGACTATGTAGCACTTTAAAGACTAACAAGATGGTTTATTGGGAAAGCTCATCACCTAATAAACAATCTTGTTAGTCCTGTTTTTTGTTTCAGCTAGACTAGACTAGCACAGCTACATCTCTATTACTAGGAGATGATGTGTGAGAGAAGCAAAGTTCTAGAAATGGCTGGGGCAGAAGTGTCTTTTTATTCCCTGTATTATTTCTCCTGTACATCTCTCTCATGTGTCTCTTGATGTCATGGCTGTCCTCTGTTTAAAACACCAAAGTGAATTTAGCAAACTCTTATACAGCACTAGTTACCACTCTCAAATGTGCCCTAGTTCAACCTCATTTTTTGCCCCCAATGAGGTATACATTCCTATGTGAAATGTTATGGTCATCTATGTGGAAAATCCAAGATTCTATTAGCATCACTGATAGTTTGATTTGAAGGTTGATGCAGGCATGCCTTTATTTACTATTGATGTGTTACCTTCTCTCCCTTGCTTTCATTAACATTGTACTAGAAGGCTTTCACAGAGTAGTACCAATGATTTTATCAACACTTTTATTAATTTTATGGATTTAAATTTTAAAATACACATATAATGTAATACAGTATTTATCTGAATTACAAGTAAATACATTAGGCCAATTGTGCTACTGTAGGAATGATTTTGGTTCATTTATTTATGCCATAAAAAGTGACCCTAGAAACTTTTAATGGGAGATAGCCATGAACTGAATACAACAAACTTTGGTAGTCTTCAAAATCTGAAGCCAGATCTGGATCTACATCTTGCAAATGATCCTTAGCTTTGTAACAGGCTCAACTAATCAGATTCAAAAGCCCATAGATGAACTCCACCTTCCAGATAGTTGGGCCATCCAGCGAGAGACAACAAAATTCCCTATAAATTGGACTGAGTTTCTCTCTCTATTTCTCTGGCTCATGGGTAGCTACCTATCCACAACACTGGCCACATTTTAAAATTAAAATCTGTGCAAAGACTTTTGCTTTCATTCACTTGCTTGCCCTAGCAGAATAGTGCTTATCACTGCTGGGCTTGCCTCTTAATATGAGAATTTGGGAAAGTTCACTATAGAATGACGGATTTTTCATTTAGGTTGTTCCACATTCAGTATGATACCCTGCCAGTACACCACATTAGCTTATTATTACCATATAATAACCACAAAAAGAAAATTAGTTATGATGCACTTGGTGGGTTATAATGGATTTTGCAATAACGTAACATTGCATTCAGTATGCGGGCCAAAAACAAAATTCCCAAGAGAGGGGATCTAATGAATTTAACTTTATATTGCTTCCTTGCCACAATATTAAAGAGAGAGCAGACAGACTCCTGTGACCACAGTCACATTATTTTTATACTTAATGCTCACCATGTAGTAGAATTCAGTTAATAGAAAATATTATTTACATACCCTAAGGAGTTATTGCAGTGTATCTTATCTAAAATCTGCATATTAAGGAGTTTCCAAGTTGTTCTCCATGGCATAGTCTATAAAAGAAAAATCCCTACATATGAATTTACATCGACACGATTCAAGCTTTTTAGCTGATGACCTTTTTTCCCTTTTGAAACAGAAAGTTCAGAAATGCAAACCGAAGCAAAAGGGTGAGAGCAATATAAACCATTGAATACATGATACATTTTGTACACTGTACAATATATGAAAAATAACACGATGATTCCTTATTGTGAACTATTTTAAAAATATCTAATATGTTTTCCAAAACAGATTATTTTGCATTTTACATTTTTCACTTTTCATGACCAAGCTTTCATGCACATGCTTCAGAAAAAGGAGCCTAACTGGTCACATCTGCTTCACTGAAATGAATTCTTTATGCTGTATAGATGCAGTCACGTCAATCCCAGGATATTAGACACACAAGCTGGGGGAGAAACATTTTTTATTGGACCAATCTCTGCTGGTGAGAGAGAGAATCTTTCGAGTCAATCAGAGCTCTTCTTCAGGCCTTGAAAAGACACTGCAAAAATGGTGGAACAGAGAGTATTTAGCATAAGTAGTTAGCACATATTGTAAGCAACCATTCACTTTACTCTGAACCCCAAAAGAGACAGAAAAACCTGATGGGAGTTCCTTTAGCCAGACCTAACTTTCTTTAAATGCACCATCTTTGAAAGTCTACTTTTTAAAGGACCCTTTTAAAATCATTTAAAAATGATGAAATGCATCCTAGCATACTCAAGGTGCTGACTGAGGAGATATCTGAGCTGTTAGCTATTATTTCTGAATAATTTCAAGGACTATGAGAGAGAGATCCCAGAAGGCTGGAAAAGGGCAAATCTAGTGCCCATCTATGAAAAAGAAAAATAAAGACATCCAGGGGAACTACAGGCAAGTCAACCTAACTTCTGTACCAGGAAAGATAATGGAGTAAATAATTAAGGAATCAATTTGCAAACATCTAGAAGATAATAACTTAATAAGCAACAATCAACATGGATTTATCAAGAACAAATCATGTTAAATCAAACTGATAGCTTTTTCTGGCAGGATGACTAGATTTATGAATAAGGTAAAAGTGGTACATATAGACTTTAGTAAGGCATTTTATACAGTTTCACATGAATAGGGAAATGCTATCTAGATGGAGGTAGGTGAATATCTGGTTGTATACCAAACTCAGAAAGTAGTTGTCAATGATTCAGTCATGCTGAAAGGGCATAAAGAGTGGGGCTCTGCAGTAATCAGTTTTGGGACTGGTTCTGTTCAATATCTTCATCAATTATTTAGACCAGGGGTCTCCAAACTTTTCAGCCCGAGGGCCGCATTAACTATCAAACAGCAGTTCGGGGGCCGACTACACACTTGAGGTCCAATTTTTAAAAATTCTTATGATTTCTTAAGTTAAACTTACCTGAATATAGTGTGCAAATATATCCACTTATGGTAGAGAGATTGTTGCTTTTAATGTTTCCTCTTCAGAATATTCGCCTGCGAATCCGTTTCTCCCGGAAGCCGAGGGCCGCATTAACTATCAAACAGCAGTTCGGGGGCCGACTACACACTTGAGGTCCAATTTTTAAAAATTCTTATGATTTCTTAAGTTAAACTTACCTGAATATAGTGTGCAAATATATCCACTTATGGTAGAGAGATTGTTGCTTTTAATGTTTCCTCTTCAGAATATTCGCCTGCGAATCCGTTTCTCCCGGAAGGGGGGGGCTTTTCCCCCTGCTCTCCCCTTCCTCTGCACGCTGTCCTCCCCTCCTGCTTGCCACCGCTCACTCCTT